GATTTACTACTACTACTACTACTACTACTACTACTACTACTACTACTACTACTACTACTACTACTACTACTACTATCTGTTAGCATAGGTAGTAGATATCACAGTTGTAGGAAAAAGCGTCAGGGATAGATAATATTATTGAAAAATACAGAATACATTTATTAGATAAAAAGTGTAGGACGATTTCAAAATTTAAAACTAAAGCAAAGACGATGTCTGAATGCATCAACTCCGATTTCAAATCATATCACTTAGTTTTTTTCAATCATTATTATAGGCATGCTGGCACTAATCATGTTATTCTTCACCTACCTACACGGCTTAGACCAACGTTTAATGACTTCATGAAGTGATTCCATGTTTCAGTTTCATCTACACAAGATTTCTAATTACTCCTACAAGAGATAAGGAGTTTGATTTTATTTAATTATGCAAATAAGTTCTATGTTTTAAATTAAATATACACGCTATTAGAGAAGTGTGATCGTCTTATCCACGATTTACCAATTGAATGTGCCTGAGCCCTAACGTTGGTGCTATCACTACAATTAAGACACATTACTGATTACTTTAGGACACTGATTATGAACTACTTATATCCTCACATTTTTGATTTTCCAGTACGGACTATACCTAGATTATGTATTTATAAGTAATATATCCAAAATTTAGTGAAAAAGCAAAACAGTTGATCAATTGAATTTTCGCACTTCATCACATAGTTTTTCAATCTCTTTCATTTGTATATGACCATTAATTTGGTCTTGAAATTCTTTTGCTAGTTTTCTCATCTGATCACGATAGATTTGATCGAGCTTCTCACGTTCTAATAAATCAATTGTTGCATTCTTTCTCAACGCTTCGCCTTCAGCTGATATTTGTTCTTTACGACGTTTTTTCTGTTCATCATGTTCTTTTATTCTTGTGAATAAAATAATGACCAACATTAACAAAAAAGGGTTAATACGGTATAAAAATTGCATAATTCTCATAGCTTAAATCACGAACTGATGTTAGCGAAACAACCACTGGAAATTAGGAATCAGTGGACAGCCGTCTCAGCCTGATATTGATCTCATTGACAGTGCGCACGTACGACCGCGCGTCCATGGAATGAACTCAGGACCTTCCATCATGAGATGGGGTTCCTGGAGTTTATGATGAAAAGCTATTACCAGTAGAGTCCAACCGTGTCAAGAGACAACTACCCACCTTAGGGAATGAAAAAGGATGTCTTGTTATAATTTTGTTCAGGAAAGAAAAGGAGCATTAGTTGATAGTGTAAGTTTAAATAGAACTTATCATCATTGTATTTCGATCAAGAGACTAAATCATATCATACTCACCAGATTTAAATGGTTTTGATTTCTATCCCTGAAGAGGCTATGTTCTTGAACAGACGAAGAGTTTTTAGGTAGAGCCAAACAACTATAGTCAGTCCTTCGTATATATTATCATTGTTATTATTATTATTACACTTGATAACCTTTTTGAGGAATATAATCAGCATCCACCCCATTCTACTACATTTGACCTAATTCATATTATTCTACATATTGCGTAATTTATGATTTTAATTACATTATTTTCTCTCTCATCCCATGTTGACCATATTTATGCTGACTATTTATTCCACAATTTCATTTCGCTTGTAAACTGATTCAAGTTAACACAACATGTTAGTCAACTCCAAGAATAACGATTTGATTTTATATAACAAACAATCCTTCATTCAAAAACATGAGTTTTATGGATTATTAATTTGGATTTATAATTGTAGAACCTGATGAGAAATTATTGAAAATATTCTTCTAAATAAGAACTTTCGTCTAAATTTGATCGAATAGTTTCACAGTATTTGGGCGCCGAGTTAATGTGAGACACTAAAGAGTAAGAATGTAACTATATATATGTTTCCTTGAAAAAACCTGGACCAGATATATATATATATATATATATATATATATATATATATATATATATATATATATATATATATATATATATATTTCATCCATGTTTTTGAATAAAGGATTGTTTGTTATATAAAATCAAATCGTTAATCTTGGAGTTGACTAATATGATGTGTTAACTTGAATCAGTTTATAAGCGAAATGAAATTGTGGAATAAATAGTCAGCATAAATATGGTCAACATGGGATGAGAGAGAAAATAATGTAATTAAAATCATAAATTACGCAATATGTAGAATAATATGAATTAGGTCAGATGTAGTAGAATGGGGTGGATGCTGATTATATTCCTCAAAAATTTATCAAGTGTAATAATAATAATAACAATGATAAAGATGATAATAATAAGTCTTGGACATAAAAATGAACATTAATCAAATTACGTCACCATATTATAAAATTAATTATTAACTAGTTTGCCCCGATGTCGGCTAGGGTGAAAGGAGTGGCTGAACATATTTCTTTCGGATTCAAAGTTCTGGCATTTTGATCCGAATAGCAATTGCTTCAGCCGCTTGCAGGATTCTCAGTCTGACGTAATTAGGTAGACTGCTGTTAACACGACATATTACTGCGAAAGATTGCTCCATGTTGACTATGTCCTGTTTGAATTAAATGAGCTAAAATGGAGTTGTCAACAGTTTTAACTACACCTCTGCTTAACCACACTGAGAGGTGCTCACGGGCCCGAATATACGAGTTCCTAGAACATCTGCCAATATAACTTGCTCTACAGAAGCAGTTCAATTAATAGGTACAGAAAGAAGTGGCTAGTCTAGGTAATTTATCTTTCAACCTTGGAGGGATTATTGGACATGTGGAAAACATTAATTGTAGTTTACCTGCATTAAAAGTTCTTTGAATTGATCTGCTTAACTTTAGTTTCAGTGTTTCATTTGGTGCATCGCCCCTGAATTGTAAGCGTATATACAGAGGCTATTTGTTCACAGTTAGGCATTCCTTATGCTCTGTTTATTGGCTGTTTTTATTTACAAATTTCTCAGGATATCCATTTTCTTTCAGGGTCGTGTATAATACCTTGGTTTCATCTTCGACCGTATCTAGAGAGCATATGGTCTTGATTCTATAGTGAAGTGTCTTAGTCACGTTCCTTTTGTACTACAGAGGAACAAAGCTAAGAACGTTTGTATATTGGCCCGTCTAACTAATATTCAGTAGTCAGTTCAATAATAATATCTATTGAGCATATGATGTGCAGTTCCAATCTGGTTTTGTGTGGGATTACTATGTATTTATGTAAACAGGTAACATTCAACATATTTATAATGTAACTGTATATTAGTAATACTAGCGACAATTATTATCAATCTTACTACACTCGTTAAACGTTTGTTTTATTGCAATACGTTTACATTTTGATACCATTCGTTCTCGTCTCAATGTTGTTTACTGGCATAATTTCGAAACACCTGTCAATTGTTACGTATGGTACTGTAAGTAACCTTTACAGGTCAACTTCAGGAAGTACCTTGCTTTGATTGAACACTGACATGATAAACACTGTAGATAGGTTTGTAAATTCATTTCATATATTTTCGCAATAATACAACTGTATTGCAGAATATTTTCTCATTTTGGATTGCTAGATTTTACGCATTACGTGATCGTGTAGTCAGAAGCTTCGATAAGAATTAATAGATATTATATATCAAATAATAATAATAGCAATGAAAATCATTTACTGTGCTATTAATTCTTGAGCATTTAATAAATTTTTCTCATGTCTTCTTTCAGCTTCATCTAGTTCTTTCTTTATAGCTAAGTAGAAAGCGGAAGCATTTAGCGTTAGGAACCGCGTATTCAGATTTGCAGTAGCAAAATAGATTTGTGGGAATAAAAGATATTATTGAAAAATAAAAGAACGTTGTTACCATGGAGCGAATAAGCGAAAACATGTAATTTGGAAGGTTATTCTCCGAAGATCCAGTAGGTATATTTTTCAGAATAAGATGAATTGTGGGAATTGTTAAGTATTAATGAGACAATTAATGGACTCAAGTTAAACAACAATTGGAAACCAGGAAATACTAGAAAACCGATTTTTCCATAATCGGACTCCTTAGAAGTGCTCGTTCATGATCTCGCCAGGTATCGGACCCAAGCATTTCAGGTATCGCAGAGAAAGCTAAAACTTTAGACTATTGAGTTAGAATTCTATAGTTTACGGCTCTAACTTCAATTGATTTGCGATATTGTATGATCATCTCTCATTATCTTCATCATTAACACAGCTGAACTCCAATAGTCACTCCTTCTCATTGCAAATTTCTTAAATAATTGGTTTACGGTATTGCAATATTTTTTTTCACTGGAAGCAATTACTTGATTTATTAGCTAATAAAGCAGCTTTTGTCGATTACATACTACGGTAATTTAATAATAAGTCTGTTACTCAGCCTTGTACCAGTGGGATTTATTAGTTACGTTATGTTACATTCAGGTAATATCTGTATATTATCATGAGTTTTTATGCCTGAATAAAATGGAACAATAAATAATATCCTTAGGTGATTTTCTTAGAGTTCTGATTAATAGGTTAGGAACCAGGTAAGAATGTTGCTTGGGTTTATCGGTCTTTTAGACCATAAATTACCTGCGTTATCTGATGTTAAATGCCATTTAAATATACGGTCAGTCAAGATCAATATAGAGCCTGGGACATACGTGATTTGGCCGAAGTTGATTACCACATTAGCACGATGAGATTAGATTAACAAGATGAATAGCACAGAAACTGTAAAAACGTGGTAGCAACAACGTTCAGAAAGATTAAACATTGAGAATATGGTTCAGAAAGACAAAAGGAAAAGGTAAATATGATGAAATAGTGGATTTCAGGACCGAGAGGAAGATAAAGAGTGAATGCATCTGTGCCGTTGCAAACGACTGTGAGCCGAGTTACCAAAAGTTTATAATTACTGATAGTTTTTATTATGTGGACCGCATTTACTTGGCTCAGACTAACAGTTGATAACTTAATGGATTAATGCCACATTTTGGTTACGCTGTCACCAGCTTTATTCCAGTCTACCAATACACTCTACTAGTACTACAAAGTTACTCAAAACATCGCCAGTATTGACTGTATTGTAGATTATTCCTAAAGTTAGTGAACTTTCGTTTTACATGTGAATTTTAAGCCAAAGAATTTAAAACCTACAGTGTTCCCATTTAGTATATTGTAACTTGAATTAAAAATATCTTAATTACATGGATCGTATATCTACTATTGCTCCACAACTACAACGCTTCAACCGTATTACCACAGACACGACGAAGCGAAAGGGAAGACAATCACTTAGAAAATGACTATAACTGTCTTCAGGATTGGAGAAATAGGTTACAACTGCTCCATATTTTTAGTTCATACATAATTTTAGTATAGATACAAAACAATATTAAAAGTTTAAGTTACATATGAGAGAATAGCTAAGTTCAAAGTGAATTCTTATGTAATCATTACTTTTTGCTGTTTAGCGTCTAAATTTAAAATGAAAAACAGCAAATTAGATATTTTCTATAGCCTTCTAGGAGACCTGTTAACTAAATGCTCTCTAAATACACGATAGTTTGTCACTTTCTATTGTCCATCTATCAAACCACCAGGACACTGAGTAAGTGATATTTATTAAGAATCACTTGTAGACCAGAACATTAGTTTATTGACACAAGGCACAAATAGTCAGCATAGAGTGAATTTCGAGTAGGATGAACTTATAATATGATGTAGTCTCATATATTTAGCATTCCCATATGTCATTATGTTTGCTCATTAAACAATTACTACTCACTATCACCCGATACATCATTTAGTCATTATATATAGTCGTCATTCTGAGGTTATACGTAGAGTACTAGGTAAGTATGGCCAATCGGTTGACGAGGTAGTGAATCCTTATAAACTAAGATGGTTAGGACATGTATCACGTATGCCCATCCACCGAATACCTTGAGGAGTGATGATAGCTGATGTAGGAGTAGGCCAGAAGAAAGTTTAGGGGAGTGAAACCAAGACATAACAACTGTCCGTTAAGATATTGACTACTAACTGAGCCATGCAGGTAGGCGCAGATAAACTGGTTGAGTTTCGCGTGATTATCATAACCAATGGTTCGAAATTTGGGTAACATGACCCGAAATTGTTTACTTTGGCGCAGGTGCATCTATTATTTATCTTCCCTTTAACCCAAATTTTTTAAATTTCTCGTGAATTTCCTGTCTCACTAGTTTATGTTTTCTTTTCGAATTGCATATTTCATGCCTTCCATCTTTTCCATTACGAGTAATACTATTACTGCCACAACCACTCTGGGATTTATTTTGATGATCTTATCTTGCTGTGTTAACGGGATATGGTAACTTGAACCTAAGTACATATGTCCCAGATTCTACGTTGCATTTGATTGATTGATTGACTAACTGCTAATGTCGTTAGACAGTAGAGTAGATAAAGTTTTTATGTACACTATCAGTAACATTTGTGATCCTTTTTACATTTGTACTTCTCTAATGAAAAGCTGTAATGAAGGATAATGTTAGTTGATGTCAGTTATATCTATCATTCTAGAAGACTTGTTTGTCAGTGTTAATAGATTATCGTATATAAACGTGTATTTGTGTAATTACTAGCGTTGACAAAGGTTTGATGAACAAATACAATTTACCAATCAGAGTGAAAGAAGATGCACTCTATATTTAATGTAGAGTCAAATAATGCCTTTTTATAACACTGATTGAATATATCTTTTTCAATATATTATGCATATAAGTAAAACGAATAGTACTGAGGTTAGGGTAATCTTTATTAAGAGTTAAACATGCGTCACTCATTCACTAAATAAACAGAAGAATAACCAAAAGTACTGGGTACCACGTTGAAAACATTGGAGACAACCTTAACCTAACAGAATCGAGTGAAAATACTATTTTAATGATTTAGACTGAATAATAATTATTATTCAATCAAGCATACAGTTAAATATTTTGTTGCTATGTGCGGTGAATATCAGTATATTCTAACATTATTTTTAAACAACAATCCCACAAATACACGTCTTTCAGTATACCGAACACTATAAATACTACTAAACTCGTCTCATATTTTCTTAAACAAATTTAGCGAATTTTCCAACAGTTATACTATTAGCATCATTAGTAGGAAATGTTTAAGCGATCCCGCTGTTTATATTTTTGACTGAATGTTAATTAGTTTTCGTTGGGATATGCGTTTGTTCTATGAGGATTATCTAGATATACTCATTTATGTCAAAGTTTTATATAGAATAGATGAACTGGAGCTAGGCACTGGAATCCAGATACTCTTGTGAACATTGAACTATACACATTATCGAAGTCAAATAATAGATATGTAGCAGTATAGAAGTTTCGTCATGATTGTTACATTTTTATATTTTAGACTACAAACTGATCTTAGAGCACCATTAAAAACCAGGAAGAAACGAACAGCTTTCTCGTCCATGACTGCGCCATCAGAGACGTACGGTTTTGCACGCCAAAGTGAGGGCACTAGACTTGATCCCCGGTGGGATCGTTGATGCACATATAGCGAAATGTATATTTAATGATTTTTATAGCCACAAAAATACATCCTACGTGTGATCACATGTATGTTCAATAACTATGATTTATTTGTATCATTTATGAGCGGGCATAATTAATTGGTTAATCGATAACTACCCTGCTTTTAATGTTCGAATAAGTACTACCAACGTCATTAACTTTTCTACTTTGTTGGCCACGACCTATGATCAAAGATGATAAAAGTGAAAGATTGCTCCATGTTGACTATGTCCTGTTTGAATTAAATGAGCTAAAATGGAGTTGTCAACAGTTTTAACTACACCTCTGCTTAACCACACTGAGAGGTGCTCACGGGCCCGAATATACGAGTTCCTAGAACATCTGCCAATATAACTTGCTCTACAGAAGCAGTTCAATTAATAGGTACAGAAAGAAGTGGCTAGTCTAGGTAATTTATCTTTCAACCTTGGAGGGATTATTGGACATGTGGAAAACATTAATTGTAGTTTACCTGCATTAAAAGTTCTTTGAATTGATCTGCTTAACTTTAGTTTCAGTGTTTCATTTGGTGCATCGCCCCTGAATTGTAAGCGTATATACAGAGGCTATTTGTTCACAGTTAGGCATTCCTTATGCTCTGTTTATTGGCTGTTTTTATTTACAAATTTCACAGGATATTCATTGTAAAATGTGATCGATAGACGAACCCACCAATAATAAAGGGAAACGCCCACCACTACATTAACTCTTTTTGACATTGTACGACTGTATCTCTTTATTAACCAATCACAGTTTAATGTTCACTGTAAAACAATATTTGCTTGTTGACTCATTTTTCCTATTCTCTGGCTACTGTTTGGTGTGTTATTTGTCTGTTTTTTCTCTGTATTAATAGATCATACAGTTTGTTTGTACACTAACGATGTTAACTTATGTTTTAGAAACAGATAAAGTTTATTTAGCAAAATAGCTTGCTTGTTCTGACTTTGGCCAAACCAAGACTCTGTATTCGACGGTCTAGAGAATAGCTCAGAATTAAACCTGTAGGAAATTGCTCCCTACATCCATTTTCCTTCAGGGTCGTGTGTAATAACTTGGTTTCATCTTCAACCGTGTCTAGAGAGCATATGGTCTTGATTCTATAATGAAGTGTCTTAGTCACGTTCCTTTTGTATTATAAAAGAGCAAAACTAAGAAATTTTGGGGACGAATCTATC